CGATATCGAATATCGATACTCTTGCGCGAGCACGGATGGTCGTCAGACAGAGAGAGACAGACAGAGAGAGACAGAGAGAGAGAGAGAGAGAGAGAGAGAGAGAGAGAGAGAGAGAGAGAGCGAACAAAACGCGCTGGTTCGTAAACGATATATATATATATATATTACCGTATCGTAAATATGATACGGGCCCATCCGCGTTTTGCATGTTATAAATCGATTTTACACCGAGAACCGATAAAACGGGACGCTTAACAGAATCGTTGTTGTATCTCGAATAAATGCACTCTCGACGTTAAGAGAGGAAGCTTGGATATATACGCGCGAGAGAGGGTGAAAGGGGGTGGTGAAAGAGGGGAAAAAAAGAGGGAGAGAGAAATCCATTGGACAAATAGCCGGGCTTTGTGAGAGGATAATTTAAAGAAAAAAAGAGGAGGGAAGATAAAAAGGAGAGGCGGGGGAGGGAAATGGCGGTTTTTATATCGCATATCGGGGACAAAGTGGTGACAGTAAGCTGATCAAGTGGATATTTCGTTTGGTCTGGATTAAAATTTAAAGAGAGCGCGGGTTGTTGTTCAACTTAGTATAATTTTGATTAAATGTCTACACGAGTGGATATTATACGCGGGCAATGGTAAATTATACGTTTTAAAATTGAGAACGTGTTTCGCGTTGGTTATTAAATTATAAAAGGGAAAATTTCTTCCTTCTACGTGATTCTGTTTCGAGATAGCGCGTACGTCTACGTGTGTACGTGTGTATGCGTGTGTTTCTCTTTCTTTTGTATTTAAAAAATGAGAAATGGAATTAAAAGATAAGCTTGGATTCACGGGATAATTCCCGTGATGAAAAAGAGGGGAAAAATTCAAAGGAAATACGATTCTGTCTCAGAGGTAAAAGAAAAAAAAGAAAGAAAAGGATGGAAAAAAGTTTTCGTAGCAGCGAAATAAGATTCTATTTGAAATTTAGATTTCACGACAACTGAACGAATCGAGGGACGAAAAATCGGTAACGATTTCGATACGGAAGGAGAGAATATTTCAACCGAGGCTTCTTGCGATCGGGTTATTCCAATCTTTGCGATCGATTTCAGAGGAGGATACGAGGAATCCCTGTATTGCAAATTATCTCTCCAATTTTCTTTCTTCTTTCTTTTTCTTTTCTTTTCTTTTTTCGCGATTTTGCGAATCGCGAAGTAAATTCAAAAAAAAAAGCCAAAGCGAATCGATTCTCGAACGCTCCCGAAGAGAGATCGGACAATTTTCGGGGCCGATGTTGATATAAGAAGGGCAGAGGGGGCAGGTGGAAAAATTCGAAAAAGAAAAAAGAGAATTGTGATTTCCGTACATTAAACTTCTCAACTACGTGGAAAATCTAACCTAAGAGATCTGCCGACGTCACGATACGTGCTATGTATATATACGTGTATCTGGCCGGAAGGAAGGAGTTGAAAGAGCGGGATACGCGGTGGAAAGTAATATCTGCCGGTAGCGAGAACTTATGCGCCGCCCAGCCTCTCAGTATAATCGTGCTTTATACCTTATCGAGATCCTGACGCGATGCTGAAATCGTGTAATTGCAACGCGCTTTTTCCCCTCTTTCATCCCCTCTCCTCTATTCCCACCAGAACACAAAAATGGTGGAAGAAAATGTTTTTCCCTCCCTCCTTTGACTCGCTCGTTCGTGCCGCGATACAGATAAAATTCCAGATGAAAAGGTCTCGTTGGAAATTGCTGAGCGAATACGCTTTTTTCTTTTTTCTTCTTCCTCTTCTTCTTCTTCTTCTTCTTCCTGCTTCGACAGAGTTTGGACGAGATTGGATGCGGTTGAACGTTTCCAGGCGAAATGAGATTTTAATTAGCGCGACTCTGGTATCGCTGCTGTTGCTCGAGGTAATCCAAAGATCGGAGGGGATGGGGGAAGGGAAGAATATCATCGCTCTCTGGGATTTAAATTTCCTCCTCATTTTTCCCCCTCCCCCGTGTAATTTAACCGAGCGCAATTGTTTCGTGCGAAACGAGCATTAAGCGAGGATAGGATAATCCCGGCATTAATTCAGCGGAGACGTCTTCTTTCGACAAAATACTACAACAACAACAACAACGAGAGGGGAACGAGAGTGAAAATTATCTCAAGAGTTTAGTTCTTTTCTAAAAAAAAAAAAAAACTCACAAATTCGAATAAAGGAGGGATCGACATCGAAACGTTGTGTAGTAATTCGCGTAATTTCTCGCGTTTCCTCGGCGAACAATTGCCAAGGATTACGATTACCGCGTCCTTTTTTCCCCGATCGCGTCGTACAATCGCGATGGAAATTTTTATCGATCGAATCGACGATGTTCTCCTTCATCTTCGAGTGGAAACGCGACAATAACGAGATCATTGGAACGGTACGTCCAAGAAAACAATTATTTAACAATTCCAATTGCTGTAACGTTACTGTAATTAATACTTAATGTAATCCGTCGCGATTCTCGCGTTTGATTTTAATTAAAATTATCGAGTAACGAGCTTCGTCGTCAAAAGTCTTTTCAATGTTTTGGGAACGGACCAGACGTGTCCGTTTCCAACAATCAAAGCGCACGAGGATTCGAGGGAAAACGAGATAGTTTCTTTATGAGAGAGAGAGAGAGAGAGAGAGAGAGAGAGAGAGAGAGAGAGAGAGAGAGAAGATAGCGCTTCGGGCGCAGGACGATTATTAAACGCACGAAATTACTGTTAATACAGTGGACGGGAATGCATCGACTTTAATTGGTATGCGGCGAGTACCATTAACGTTTTAATTAGCGGCAAGCAAGCTCGATACACGTCGACCGACATTTCCTTTCGGCGTTCACGATCGATGCACCGGCATTATAACCTGTTAAACGTTAACGTTCTATTTATGGAACAAACGCGTTTTCTTCCCTCGACGAGGATTCCGCGAAGCTAGCGAAAATGCTTTCTTCTCTCTTCTCCCCCCTCCTTCCTCTTCATTTTCAATTAGAATCGAGAGAGATCGCGATCAACGTCTCCTTCTGATCCGAATTTTATCGGCTAGTTTCCCTTTTTAACGCTTCCTCGTTTTCTCGATTTCTTCGATTTCTTTCCATTCATCAATCGCTCGCGAGAATTTTTTCTCCAAATTCTCTTTTTTTAGTTAGAGATCAACATCGAAATCTAAATTTTATCGGTTTCCTCGATCTCTGCAATTCTTTTTATCCATCTTCGTGCGTCGAATTTATCGATTTTACTTATCTTGTCGAAAAATTTCTATCCAATATTTTTTTTTTCTGGTCTCAATTAGAGCCTTCAAAAGAAATACAACAGTCCATCGATCCGAATTTCATCGATTTCTGTATAATTTTATCATTTTATATGAATTTATATACGGAACGTTACATCGATCGCACGGCACGGTGAAAATTTTGAAGAATTTTTAAAATACTCCGTATTATTACTGAGATAGAGAGAATTAGTAAAGTGAATCTTATTTAAAGGAATATTTGCTGCCTCGTCGAAAAGCGTTTTCTTTTTTTTTTTCTTCTTCTTTTTTTCCGTTTGTACACCGTTGCATTATTCGCAAGGAGTCGAGTGCTCATGAATAATGACTCGGGCGAAACGGTAGAGGGAACAAATTATTTCTCGTGTCGTCACAGCCAGCAGCAACGCGAGACAGCATTGACAAATTACTTTTCGGGAGAAACGTGTTACAAGATAGAAAAGTAAACTATCGTTTTACTTTTGCAATGGAAGTGGCAACTTTTTTAGTTACGAACCTCGGTACATTAATCCTTGGATCTTTCTTCCTTTCTTTTCTTTTTTTTTTTTTTTTCGAAAGAACGAATTCTACGAAGAAAATTATACGTATATTCGAAACTTTTTCTTTTTACTCAAAGATTAAGTTTTCTTCCGGTTTGAACAGAAAGATAACTGGTTTACCGCAACGTTATTTTTTAATCGATTCAAAGCTTTCTTGTTTTCTCCCGAGAACTAGTCGTCGCAACGTTGAACTTCTTAATTAGTGGCGAGCTTTAAATAACGTCACCTTTTAAAACTGAATCCTTTTCTTTTTTCCCCTTTCGAGGCCAAAAAAATTAACGATACACTCCGCGAAGGGAAGAGCTCCCTATATTTTTCCACGAAATCGCGAGATATCTCGTGCAATCCGGGTTGAAGAGAAAATTTGTTCCATCTTCGATAAAGTAGAGTCGAGAAAATTGAGAGCAAATTCTATTCCCCCGTGGGTAAAAGGAGCCCGGCCAAAGAGTCGAATAAAATGCACGTATATAAGGGAACCTATAGAAAACGGGGACGAGTATCTTGAACATAAAACGAATGCAAATTTACATACGTACCGGTGAGGAAGATACCGGGAGAACCGATAGTGGTATTGGATTCGTGATCCCCTTTTCCTTGTATACGTGGAAAATTTAATCGTATCTTAATTTACGCGACGCGAAAAATGCGTCAAATTCGACGTCAAACACGTCGAATGCAAACTGCGAGTATAGATAAAAGTTCCTTTGAATTATAATTTATACAATAGTCGAATGTATATCGATAAAGTGAAATTCGAAATCGAGGGAAATAAAAAATGGAAGAGTGGGAGTACGAACGAGGGAAAAGAAGAGAAATTTTTTGCAACAAACGAACATTGTCAAAGTTTGGAAGATGAGGCGTTAAATTGCGGATAAAATATAACGATAAGCACCGGTGGAAACGAAAGCCGGGAGACCGAGGTGGGACGCGTTTCCTTTCCGGGACCCCTATAAACGGGCCACTGTACACGGTGCACAATGTATTTCTAAATCGTCGTTCTGACGCAAACGAGCCACGATTTTTCCATCATTTCTCTGTCGAAATTCTAAATTGTCTTCTAAAGTTTTGATTCTTCTCGAAATCGACAGGGATTCTCCTTTCGTGTCGCGATCAAATGTCGAATAATGGAAAAGACCGGGAGCGAAGAATGAAACAACAAGGAAAACGAAACGAGACCGACTTTATCATCTATTACGTACCTCGGACAAGGAGTCCTCCGACATCATATCGCTGGTATCTCTCATGACTCCCAATGGAAACTAGCACCGACAACAATCACTCAACGCCCACGTTTTATCCGTTTCCTCCTCGGGCTCCTCGGGTGTATCTTTCTTCGCTCGATGTTGCGCGTTCCTCCTCCTCCTCCTCCTTCTCCTCCTCTTTCCTCTTCTTCTTCTTCTTTTTCTTTTTCTTCTTCTTCCTCTTCCTATTCTTCCTTCGCTTGCCACTCGTCGTCCTCGTCGTCGTCGTCGTCGAAAGAGAAAGAATCTAATTAGCTTTCTTTCTTTCACCGATGAACGTACACGAGAAACTTAAAACGGCTCGGCTGTGACGAACGAGAGAGAGAAAGAGAAAAGAGCGCTCCCTCTTGTCACGAGCACATTGTCCCGATCGCGTTTTCGGACCCGTGTTCGTTTTAAACGCACGTTATAACTTTGGTCGTTGGATCGATCGTATCGTAACGTGTCACTTTCCTCCCTCTTTCTCTCTTTCTATCTCCCTCTTACACTCCGCTCCTCTTCTCTCTTGCCTTCTCTCTCTCTTTCTCTCTCTCTCTCTCTCTCTCTCTCTATATATATATATATCGTTCTTCTTCGTTCACCCGCCGTTTCCCTTCGGAAACCGTGTACTCGCGACACGCACAGCTTCCGTTTCCGATTGGCCAGGACACGTCGGGATGGATTCCGCGGACGATCAACCGGATCCCGGATTCGGTTCCACTTCTTATCGGCGACGTGGTGGTGGGATCCGAGCGTGGCGAGCTTGAGGAGCTCACTAGAGGATCGCGGCTCGACCCATCGGTGGACGCGGCTTTGGAAACACTGAGGAGCGCTGTCAGGTAACGAAGCAAGGGAGCAGGTCGACGGACAGCCACCAGCCAGACACTGGCCTCCATGACACTGCTCCCGTCCTCCTCTACCCACCGCACGCTCTCTCTCTCTCGCACCAGAGGCCACGCTACTCCGTGCTTGCAGCTGCCTTCCCTCCCCTCCCTTTCCAGCTCCCTTCTCGCCCCCCGCACTCGCGAGCTCCCCCCACTTCCAACTCCGCGTTCCACCCTCTGCGTTCCCCTTTCGAGACGAGCTCCTTCTCTCTCTCTTTCTCCATCCCCTCTCTTCCTCTTTCGCTCCGCTCCCTTCCCTCGCGCCCAACGTCCCCTCTCCTTTCCCCTTCTCCCTCTCCCCCATCGGCCGCATATCTATCCGAGTCTCGGCCTCTTCTCCTCCTTCTTCTTCCTTCGCGAACACTCTCCCTCTCTTCTTTCCTCCCCACCGCCCAGAAGGTTCCCGCAGAACCGATGTCGAGACAACCACCGCCGTTTGACCACGGAGAGACGGATCGTCGATCGGATCGTCGGCCGCGACAAACCGCCTCGGATTCCTCGGATTCGGCTGTGAATGACGAGGAAATCCGGGTCAATCGTCCGAGGATCCGTTCCTCGGAGGATGAACGGATTTCATTTTGCATTTTGAGGAATTTTTGAGGAAGGATTCGGGGAAAAAATTTAATCCGTATCGGATTTCCAAAAAAACTCGAAAAGATCAATGAAAGAAAAATCGAAGGAGAGGGAATTTCGTGAAATTGAACGTGAACCGAGTTAACAATGATATAATGATAATATAACGTGGTTCGTTTAGGAGTTCAGAGGGAATTTTAACTCTGATGCTTTGGAATTTTAGCTCGGGGAGATTAATCGGAAAGAATTGGACGAAGGAAGGACTGGAGGAAATTGAAAGGTGGATGGCGAATTTCGATGAAAAAAAAGAAAGAGAGAGAGGGAGAAAAAGAAAAAAAAAGGAGAGTTCTCGCGGCATCTACAAAGTTGTTCACGCGTCCCGTGTGGAGGGGCGGACGAACAGCTGTTATTTCACCTGTTCGATATATTATTTAAATGCTTCACCTGCCGCGATGTCCAGATACCGCGAGATAAGCGGCCAAACGTTTCCTGCTTTCACAAAGATACCGCGCATCGCTTCAAACTTTTTGCCGCCGAGAACGAGGAAAATTTGTCGAGGATGAAACGAAACAATCGAAACGACGAAACGCAAAATTATGAAACGCACGGTACATTTATTTCGATGAATCTCGATTAATCTCAAAGTTTTTCTTCAAAAATCAAGCGCGATATATAATTAATACTGTGTGTATTAATTCATCATTTCTCGCTGGGATCATTTTCGTTTAAAAAGATCGCCCGTCGATCCTCCCCGACTAGTATCGGGCTGACCTTCTTCATGTATTTGGCCAATTGTTCCCAGTCCAAGTGTCCGACCTCGTGATTCCTTCCGCAGCTTTTGAAGGGAACGAATCCATCCCCTGCTCCGACAAGAAACGTTGGCACCACGATTCTGTACCATTCGTCGTGCCTCAAATCTTCGAATTTCGGCACCTCGCAAGCTCGACATCTGGAAAAACGAAACGAATCGAGCAATACGATTCGATAGCAAACGATATATTCAAATTTGAAGTTACCTTATCTTAACCTCTTTCACGATCTTGTTACTGCCGGTGTAAATCACTTTTAACCCCGACCACGTCAATTTTTCTTTCATGTTCAATATCTGAAATAAGAAATTGGTCGATTCAATTCAACGTTACAATCAAATGTAATTTTGATTAGTTCGAATATTTGACCGTTCGAGAAACGAGGGCGAGGAGAAGAGAGCCCCTAACGCATGGCAACACCTGTTACACGCCTGTATATAGAGAAGCGCGCTGAAGAAACGACTGGACAAGAAAAACTCGGCCGTACCTTCCTTTGCGCGAAAAGCGATTCCTTTATAATAATTTCCTCCCGGTCCCGTTATCCCTGACGCGAAATTAATTTTTTCCCCGAATTTTTGACACAATTTTGCCATACCTGCAAGATGCAGCTGCCATTTAACTCGAGAATGTCCCACGTGTTCTCGAAAGGTTGAGCCATCAACAGATCGGAATACGTAATATATCTGCCTGCCGAGTCGATGGGAATGCGTATCCCTCCGGTATTCATAACGCCGACCGCGGCATAAGTCCAAACGGTTTTATTCTCCGCTTTCTCCACGTACTACGAAGCAAAGCAGCGACGAAATTTATTTTAGAAGGTAAAAAGGATAACATAGAATATTTTTTTTTACATCGATCGCTTGACGAGAAACGATGGACGAATGGGAAAGTGAACGTCACGTACGGAGTCAACCATAGCGTCCGTGATCAAATTTCCAAAGTTGCACTCCTTCCTCCAACATTCGTTGTCCAGATACACCCTAGATTTAGCTATCTTCACGTTCGCCTGCTCGTCCACGGCCACCTTCCACGGTTGCAGAGCCTTCACGATCTCGGGATCTGCCAGATATTTCCGTGGGGAAAATTAATTCCATTCGATTTAAATTATATTGGAAATATTATATAAATATATCGGAAATATTAAGCGAAGAGGGAGGGAGTTCTTCATACCTTGCTCGATCGATTTGTCGAGGAGAATCGGATTTCCGTCCCAATCGACAACCTCGCCTTCCCCGTCGAACCACACCGTCAAGTTTCCCAAGTACCTGTGGACAGAGAGCAGAGAAGAAAAGTGACGAGCGGTCGAGGAGACAAGGGAGAACGAGTTACCAACTTTGTGAAGGCCGCCGCTTGAACGATCAACACGGTTCTGTTGGTCCCCTCCTGGACCACCTCCACCGGATATTTGTCCGCAGGTTTATCGATGAAGGGGGGTGGTCCTGAAAAAAAGTGATTGCTTTACACCTACTCCTTTTCATCCTTAACCTTTCCTCTTCTAAAAAATAAAGAATGGTCGATGAATGTACCGGTGTAAAGAAAGGTATGGGAGTGACCGCCGACAACGAGGTCGATTAAAGGACACTTGGCGGCCATTATCCTGTCCACGTCCAGCCCGCAATGGCTTAAAACGATGATAATATCGACCCCTTGGGATTTCAATCTCCGCGCCTCCCCGTTCACCGTTTCCACCTCGTCCAGAAACTTTAATTTCCCTGTATTGGCGATTTTCTGTGTTGTTGTTTATAACGCCGTGAATAAGTTTCAACAATTGTGGAACAATTATGTTCGTTATATCGTCGTTCCGGTTAAATCTTCGTAATCGTTTTGGCGATTCGTTGCGCGATTCAATCAATCTCCCGCTTCTTCGACGAAACAACATGTATCGATGATCGAAACGCGTGATTCCAACGAGAAATATATTCGTATCTTGATCTTCTTTGTCTACATTATTTATACACGTGACGTTTGTAAGAAAGAAAGGAATGGAAGGAAGAAAAATATCTTCACACGGGTCGAATTTATTAATTTTAGAAGATTATTATCGTACTTTAAGCGAACGAAGATTTGAACGAGGAACACGATGTAACGAGAGATTGGAAAGGAAGATTCAAACAAAGATGTACCAACGTTTGTGATTGATAGAATAACGCCGATCACCCCGATCTTCGTCCCATTTCTCACGATGATCGTGCTGTTCTTGTACAGGCCCTGAAGATTAAACGATACTCGTGGCGGGTAAAATTTAATAGATTGAATACTTAGTTACTTTAATCAATCGTTCAATAATAATCGATTGGCTGTCGGATCGAAAGCTACGAATAAACATTTTCAAATAAGTAATCGTTTAAAGTAACTTTTATTCGAAATTTTTAACCGGTCACTTTCTCAACTTGGACCAATTCCCAGCTCTCGTAAAAAGAAAAAAAAAACTTTTTAGAGAGAAGGAAATTAAAATGGACCTAACCTGCATCGTTGGTTCCTCGGTCGCGTCGATATTGGTCACCACAACGGGTGCCTCGACCATTTTCAAAAACGGAACCACACCCTCCACGTCATTATCGAATTCGTGATTTCCTATAGTCTGGAAAAAAAAAACAAATATAATTATAATAAAATAATAATCTCTGATAGACAGATGGTTAAAAAAAAAAAAAGAAATTATCAATCCTTGTTCCCTTTCTTTCACAACATTACGAAGATACGAATCATTTATCTTTCCCCAAGATATCGTTATCGTAATTACTGCAATCGACCTATCTTTTTGAGATCGTCGCTCTTCCCCCTTTCATTCATTGCCTCGACGTAAATCCCACCCCCTTATCTCGCGTTCGAATCGATTTAATTTTCACGCGATCGAAATCTTCCTCTTCACTCTCTCTCTCTTTCTCACTTTATCGATGAAATTCGGATGGAATCTCGTTAGGAATCTCGTTCGATCGAGAACGAGGCGAACGATCGTGCGAAACGATCGATTGTTAACTCGTTGACCCAATTGAAGCTCTGAGCTGGCTGACAGAGCAGCGATAAAGAATTCTCTACTCTGTTCTTCTTCTCTTTTCTCTCCTTCGATTATATATATATATGTGTACATACACGTATATAAATGGTAATTTTTACCATGGCGTCGTGGGGCAGCATGTTCATGAAAGTAGCCGTCACGTTCCAACGATGAACGGTGTACCACAGAGTCCCCTGATAATGGTCCCCAGCGTTGAGGAAGATCGCGTTCGGCCTCTCCTTCAACAATCGATTCACAGCCGTGGAAACTCTCGCTATTCCGCCTACGCAGCTCGTCTCCTCCCCCTCTTGACATATTCCGGATCGGGGATTGGTTTGCTCGAACCTGGAAAAAGAGAAAAAAGGAAAATAACTCTCGAAGAATCGATCTTCCTGTCAAAAGATCCACGAAGATCGCCTCGATCGGATCTATCGTTATCGTTATGGATAGCGCGTGCAGGGAATGGAAATTTTGTCAGAGCGTTAATAAGAGGATTGAGCAACCGTGGAGAAAAAAAGGAACAATGTAGAAGAAACGATAGAGAAGACGATTGACCCGAATCATCGCGTCCCTGACCCTGAGATTTCACTTGGCAGGACCTTGGAATCGAATGGCGCATGCCACGCTTTCCGATTGTTCTGTTTACGTAACCGATCGTTACGTCTCTTTCTCTCTCTCTCTCTCTCTCTCTTTTTTTTACGATTAATTCCTCGAATCGCGTCCAACTGAAAATCTCAAAATCTCGCGAATTCTCGCGATCAACGCTCGGGTCTGTCGGATTATTTATTCACGAAAGATTA